TTACTGGCAAACAGAACTGGGGGCTGTGATCATGGCTCCTGGTTTCTATTATTTATGTCTTTGAGTGCGCAAGTATTCTCAATGGCAGTGCCGTTCAGTCATTATCGGCGTGTTTGTTCTCCAAGGGCTCGTTCTATCCGACCCTCTGTCCGACCGGAAGTCGGTACGATACGGACGGACCGCGAGCTACCGTAAAAAATCTAATTCAGCGCTGTCTTACTACAAGTGCATATGGGTGGGCGTTCGTTAGCTTGCCTTGTTTAGCGTAAACATATCTACCTAGTAAATTTAGCGACCGCTTTCAGGTTGATTCATGTCACTTCATGATGTGAATAACGAGAAATGGTATACAGCGGTTCGAATCCATCCAAAAATCGATATTGGAATGGTGAAAGTCACTTAAAACACAGGAGAGGGGTGACGACGTACAAATGAGTGTGCAGATTAAAGGGCTGACGATCATCAGAGCAGGACCAGGTTTACTGCCTGGTCAGACCTCCTTGACACGAAATATGTCGACCATATAATTTGAGATTTTTAATAATGACAGAGGGTTAGGGCATTTGCATTCACGATGTAAGGAGAACGGGAAAACAAACTGTCTTTCCTGAGCAACCTCAGGCACGGACAGGAAGAGGGTTTAATCAAAAACATAATCTCCTGCAATAATACACAGAAACGCCAGTAATGACACCTAATGAATTTTGCTCCGATATTACGCAAACGAAGTCTTGTTTACAGTGTCTTTCAAAGAGCAACAGACTTGCTCTGGGGGAAAAGGAGACTCAGGAGTGGAGCACGGGAATCGGTGTCCCCTTGGAATTTAACGAATGGCAACCTGTGGTACAGGGGTGTTTATATCCGTGTCAGACCGCCTCCGAATTCACTTGTCACAAAACGACCCCAATGGGATGCACCCATCCGGTCTGTTTCCGTCAGGAGTATAGCAGCCGTCTGTAGCAAAAATTTAATAGAAAAGACCGTCTCGAAGCTCCGGTTCGATATCTCTGTTTTTTAAGGACTACAGTATTTCAAATTATGATCAAGTAGCGATCATGATACACCGGTAAAGGGACTTACAATGAGGCCGAGCTCATATCTGACAGTCCATGTTAAAGCGGTGAATGATGGCCAACCCATTCACCACCTCATATTTTACTTAAGAATTCGTGTAGTATGAGGTTGGCATGAAAGTTATCTGAATTTTTAGCTTGTACAAAATAGCACTTAGGGAAATATTTAATCATAAACAGATGCCCCAGTGTTTTCTATAAATATTCCATCTTTCATTGAGTTTAGTGATGGCTTGTTTGCAAAATTGTTTGGATTTTGATAGAAAACAAGAAACCAAATCATCTTCAACTTCTCTTTTAAATGTTAACTTCCGCCCACCAGAATGGCTTTGTAAACTCCATCGCTCGTCTTATAGGCTAAACACACCATTCCAAAAGTAATAAAAGCGCTTCCTACACGCTCTTTCAGTAAAAACGCCAATACGGTAAGTGCTTTGGATAGATTTAGCCACCGCACTGGAGCTAAAACCCTCAAGTAAGTCCGAAAATAAAGCATTACCTAATGTGCTCTTTGGCTGGCTAGAATATGGAGTACAGTTTGCAAGAGATTTTGCCTAAGCAGTATAAAAAGTTTAGTCCGAAAATCGATGCAAATCTTTTTTCGTACCTTATAATTGAGGATGCCAGTGCATTGGGTGGACGAAAAGGCAATGAGTGGCCGAGTTAGTTGCGCATTTGCTTAAACGGGTATTGACGTCAGAAAATGAAACCTTGAGCTTTTTTTTTATCACGAAAGACCTGCTTGATAATGAATATTCGGCTAACTCAAGACGAACCTTGGAGTACTTGCTCGTGAATAACGAACTCGGACGTCCCGATACTTCGAGGTAGCTTTCATACCCTGACTTCTGCTAATACTGGAGAATGGTCTTGCCGTATTTACAACGATTTTATGAACATATTGAAGTGTCTATGCACCCATTTTTCCTTTGTCATTTTGTGGAACGACATCAGGTAACTAAAAAGCAGTCAGTGATGCCACTAAATCCTCCTGTGTATGCTTGTTTTGAATTTTAACTGGCAACAGAATGTTTCCATTAATTATCCACATCTACGATTAAATGAGATGGATAGCCTCAGTGTTAGAGAAGAAAGGATTACAAAAGAGGGCTGTTTGTTCCCAAAGCGGGCGATTCAGTAGATGCGTTGGACCAATACAGGGGCTGGATAGGAGCCCGGCAGGTGTTATGGGGAATGCGCACCCATTAAAAATATCAACATTGGGACTCTAGTGGAAGGCCCATTTGCCAGTTCACTCCGCTCCATTTGGATCCTTGCCTCCCATCTCCCCCTATTTTTCTGCTGTAGTATAGAATTCTGGCCAGTGTACTCGGTGGACCAGGGGATGCGTTGGTACGCCTAGGTGCGACTTTTCGCTATGCCGGTCACTTCGCCCTCTCCCGCCTACAGTCTTCTTGACCCTGTCTTGACACCGGGCCCGGGTGGGGGAGGAGGAGAAAGTGCGGTAGATGCTGCGCAGGTCTACTATCACTAAAAATTAACTCGCGCGCAAGTCACCCCCACTGTTCTCACCCTGCTCTGGAACACACGATGCATATCGTCGGTAAAGGCAGTCGGACTGTCACCAAAAGTGTGGTGATGGTTCGAATACCCTCTGATTACTCGACCTCCAACACTCGAATTTCTACTACTACTACTACTACTACTACTACTACTACTACTACTACTACTACTACTACTA